ACGGTTCTGTACAAGAAAAGTGAGATGCACCCGCTTTCCTTGAGACTTTGGGTCTAATTATCAGCAAGTAGGAGTTACCTCAGTGTCACCTAACTACAGTCAAAGAATATCCTCACCGACTTATGGTCTAATCTCAGGCAAGATAAAGGCTTAGAGAACAAACCCCAACAGAAAACCCACAGGCAGTTAGACAATACGCTCGGTCTCCTTATGGTGACTCCTGCTGAAATCTGGCACCAAATCGTATTAGTTATCCTGTCCTTTGGACTCTATGTGTTAGGTTGAGAGGGGGGGCCCTGAAGTCTGTACAGCTCAGGGCCTCCATATTATGTTGACGGGTCTGATGGAGGACCCTCAAAACATCAGCGATTCTCGCATGACTGCTGTTGTAGACAAGGAACTGGAGGAGCTACAGGTCGATATTGCGACTCTAAGACTCTTCGTCCCCGAATTTTCGTCCCTGGATGGTTCATCCCCAATAATTCTTTGCCCTCTTCCTGCATTATAACACTATTCCTGTCCCTATCCCTTATATCATGGTGATCTGTCCGTCATCCGTTCGTCCATCCATCTGTCAACAATGGTGGCATATTTTTTTCTATCATTAGGGGACGAAAAGTCCAGGGATGAAGAGTCCTGTAACCCAATATTGCCACTCTGCAAAAGAAATGATTTTTAGATTCTGGGTCATTTTATAGTTCAGAAAGACTCAACAAGACAAGCCTTATATCCGTGTGAGGTCTGTCCACCTGATTTGCATCTACACACTGACTCTCAGCACCTCATCGGAGGGTAAAGACACATTTTACAACAAGCTGAACGCTGCCGTAGGGTGACAAACTGCACAGGATCAAATGTACATCCTGGGTGATTTCAATATTTAAACTGGCACCTTGACTCCTGACCTTTATGCCTCTGTGAATTTGTTCTTGAAAAAATGAATTAAAATGGGCATGGACTCTTTGAACTATGCAGATAATACAGCCTGTGCATCGCAAACATATTTTTCCAAACCACCAAACCCAGTTTTTTAAAAATCTCATACCAACAGCGACAATGCTGAAATTAAGGTAAGTAAGATTTGTTTCTCGGAAACTGCGTGACAGAGAATGGGAGGGACTTGCTGGTTGTGCCATCAGCTGCAGGGGGTGTGGTGTTGGACTGAAGCCAGAATAAACAGAGGCTGCAGATTCCTTAGAAAATATTTCATCTTGAGCCTGAGACACACCAAATGATTTTTGAAATCTTAACCAATGTTTAGATGTGAGAGACATTATATATAGCCACATAAAACTGTATGTTTCATAGTGTTCTATTCCTCTGGTGTGTAGAGAGCATATTCACTTTGCAGTTTGGACCCCACACCACCCAATATTGGATTGTATACTGTATATTGAATGTTCAATATTTCAAATTGGAATTGCTGCAGGCCTGATGGTTTTTCAAGCAGATCTGGTGATGTCGAACACACACTTAACCCACCTCACACCACAGGATAATCAGGCAAGATAATCTGCTGAGATTGTCAGATTGTCGGAGGGGGGGAATTAGGCTCAAAATCGGCTAAATTATCCTTTGATGTGGGCCACGCTTTAGAGGCTAGAGGGCAGATTTATTGAGGGATGGTGAATGTGTTGTGAGCGGTACAGGTCTGTATACTAATGTAACAGGTTTATTATGGATGAATCTGTATGGAGTTTCCCACTCAGAAATGCACAGACATTTCATACAATGTGTAAATCTGGTATTTTTTTCTGACCAACAGTGAGTAAAAAATTATGAAGAGTCAGTATTATGTGGAAAAACAGCAGGGTCATGGTGTCATTATTTTGTGTGCAGCAGGAAATAATTCTAATCAGAAAATGGAACTTTGGCCTAAATTCTGATTGGCCACGGAATCAAGCTCTCCTATCAACATAGATCATCTGCTTCTGCCTGTTGGAGAGACATCTGAGGGCACATGACTGTCATCTGACTTTGCTGTCAGATGGTTGCTTGACCGGTAATTTGCAGGCTCATTTGAATTGGCATCCTGAGAAGCTGCACCTCACACCGTTTGCTCGGCAAAACTCCTCCCCACAGCTCCACATGTCAAGCATAGCATTCACTGACTCTTAGTTGTTTTGACTAAGTTGCCAATTTATAACAAAGTCTTTTCCTTTTCATGTCATTCAATTAATCTTTTATTTCTTTTTTTTCAAAAGTGATCCTATCAGAATAATATACCTTAATCTAATGTTTGAAATGTAATCAAGTATTACACGAGGAACAAAACATTTACTTGTCCATTTCAAGTTACATGATGTTTGTTTTCTTGTGAATTCACAGATGCACTTGTGTCTGGTATTATGAAGTCTGGAGGTTATCAGTACATCTCTTTGTATCTTAAATATCCTTCCTTGGACAAAAAGCTGTCTCAGCCAATAGGCATTACACTGGCAAATGCTAAAGCTGGTTACTGAGGGTTTGAGATGTTTTGAGATTTGTTTGTTTCTTGTGCTTACAAATGTTTCACTGATTTGATGCTGCGACAGTGATGTTTCACTGATTTGATGCTGCGATAGTGATGTTTCACTGATTTGCTGCTGCGATTACTATATTTCATTGATTTGTTAGAGTGATTTTAAAGGCCCTGTTGATTTGTTTCTGGCTTAATAAACAGCTTAGTGATTTGTTGCGGTGATGTCTCAGTGATTTGATGTTAGGCTTAGAGATGTCTCATTGATTTTATGCTTTGCTTACAATCGTCTGTTCAATTGGTGGCTGTGCTGAGAGGTGATTCATTTATTGCTTGGTGTGCTTAAATAAGATTCCTGACTTTTCCATTGATTCATGCAGTCATTCATTTTAGTCAAATTAATAGCACTAAAGTTACCAGAATAAAGTACATCAGCAGATCTTACATCGGGGTTAAGGAACTCTGTTTGTGGAGAGTCATAACTCTGCATGTTTCAGATATCTCTCAGCTCTAACACACCTGATTCACATGTTTGTACCATGTCAAGGGCATGAAGGGCTTTGGCTCCCCAGAAGCGGAGTTCCCAACCCTTGCCTCATATCATTATCTTTACTGAATACGAGAATGGGGACTGAAATAAGCTCTCCAGTAAACATTCTAAGGCTGTCTCACTGTGGGCATGATAGGTTACTTCAGTAAAGCATAAGGTAGTTCTGCAGAAATGCAGGTTCTGTATAGATGCCAGTCTGACCAAACCTGTTACTGTGTGATTCATAGGGTGTGGAGGGAGGGAGGGAGGAAGAGAGGGAGGGAGGGAGGGAGAGAGGGACAGAGGGAGGGAGGGAGAGAGAGGGAGATAGGGAGAGGGAGGGAGAGGGAGAGGGACAGAGGGAGAGAGGGAGGGAGGGAGAGAGAGAGAGAGGAAGGGAGGGAGAGATCTCTCAGAACAGCATCCTGAACCTGCTTTTCTGGTGGAGGAGCAGCCACGTTCTTGGCTCACACAGTAATCAGTGAGACTCTTAAAATATTTGCCATCTGTGCTCACGGGAGCGTATTTATTCCATTCAGGACACACTCCATGGCTCTAACACGCATTCCATTTGACTTACATATATTCCCCTGTGAGTTTTCTTGTTCTCTCCCTGATAGTGATGTTGCTGAGTTAGAACTCATATTAAAATTAATATATTGTTCCCCAAAGTAGGGTCTATTGTGGTTAGATCCAACAACCGAAAGCTTCAGGGTAACATCTACGAATGACCTCTTCTGAGATCTACTGAGCCTGTTTTAGGGCTTTTCCACTTACACCTACTCGGCTGTACTCGACTCGACTCTACTCAGTTTTTAGAATTTTCCATGAGGTGATAGTACCTGGAACCAGGTACTTTTTTTAGTACCTACTCGGCCGGGATTCGAAGCGAGCTGAGTCGAGCCAAAAATGTGAGTTCAACAGACTGCAGGCCACTGACTGGCCAGGAAGTGATGTCACTGGTTGAGTCATGAGAGCGACTCCTTCACAAGAATTAAACCCGCCATTTTTAAAACCTGGCAACAGCGACCGTTCATTTTCATTTCTGTGGGACAACGAAGTCAATGGCTACACGCAAAGCAACACCGTGGTCCAACGTCGAGGTGCAGACGTTTCTGTGCTTGGTGGCTGACCACAGAATCCGGAGGGAGCTAGACGGAGCGACCCGAAACGAGAAAGTGTACCAGGGGGTCTCCGAGCTGATGGCCGCTTTCGAGTACCAGCAGACATTGAAGCAATGTCGAGAAAAGCTCAAAAAATTAACCCCTTAAGCCCTGAGCCTCTTTTTCGAAAATGGCAAGCCCAAAATGAAATGAGTATATCTCTGCAACTATCTGGTCCATTTGAATAATCTTGGTATTATAATAAAGGTAAAACCATTTGGATTTCTGCCGTAGTGTAAAAATCAGTATATATGTCACTGAATCAGAGTAAATTAAGATGGAACACAGTAAAAATGAAAGATCTCATTTTGCACCAAACAAAGTTTTATTTCTATTCCTTGTGAATTTATTTAGTTGCAGTCTGAAACCACTAAAAATTTACAGCACAGAATCTCACCATTATCTGTGCCAAAGTATATTCTAATCAAGTAAATCAGAACAAAATTAGAGAGGAATGTCTAGGTGGGTTCTGCAAATTGGTAATTCAGGTACCTTGTGTTCCATTTCAGATTTCTCAGATATTAAACTGTAAAACTCATCTAATTTCACTCGTATGTCACTACAGGCATATATTCCACCAAATACAACCAGTTTTTAATTTTTAGACGTTAGAAATATTTTTTCAATTATTATTCCTGCTAGTCCTATAGCCAATACCATCCCATTCAAAGACAATAAATACAAAGAAAGCGAAGTTTGGCTCCACTGGAGCAGATTTATTTTTTTAAAAGAAGCAAATTAATAAGATTATGAATACAACGGAAAGGTTAAAAAATGGAAAAAAATTGAAAAGAACAAAAACCCCATCAATTATTTATACATGAAAAATGCTACCGTTGCTACCTAAAAAGCACATCTGACCGGGGATCGAACCCTGGCCACATGCATTGCAGTCTGTCATCTTAACCACTCGGCCAAAAATGGGGCAAAACAGCCTGTCAGGAGGGGGGGAACAAAAAAAAAGAAAAGGGGGGAAAGAGAAAAATTGAGGAAAAAAGGAGGAAAATGCAGTTTAAATTCATTTATATAATATTTTACTGTGTGTGAGTCATTATTATAGATAATCTATGTAATATAATGTTAAACAATTTATTATTAGTTAATCTTTTTAATCATTTACAATTAAATACTAAATTTATAATTAAATTAAATACTAATTTGTCTAACAAATTACACACTCTTGCCAGGATTTGCACCTGGAGTCTTCCACCCAGAAGATGGATGTGTTATTGTTACAACACAAGAGTTAGTTGTGTTTTTGTTGTTTTTATTTTATTTCTTTTTTTTTCACAAACACCTCAAATTCAGAGGATGGATTTTTTTGTTTTGTTTTTGTTTTTTTTGGAAGAAAACACAAGCACCACCATGTGTTCTTTTTTTGTAACTGCTTGAACTTTTTTTTTTTAAGTTGAAAAAGCAACTATATTTTGACATGTGCTTCTTTGTGTAACAAAATATAAAAAAATATTACCTGTCAAGGAACACAAACACTTAAAATAAAAACAGGTATGTTTACCAACAAATACTGTCATTTTTACTCATTGTATGCATTTTTACAATGAGCTTTTCCAGTCCGTGATGGTTTGTCCAGATGCGGGACAGCACCATTTCCCCCGTGGCTGTGTATGGCCAGTAAGTTTGCTCTTTGCCTTACCACACATTTCACACTGATAGTGGTGGCTTTCTTTGGTTTGCCGCTTCTTTGGGGGCTCACCTCTCATCTCTCGCTCCTGATCCTCAAGGGCTGCTTTTCGCAATCGCCACTCTCGGAACCGATTGTGAGAAGCTAGCGCTGCTGGGGCTGGCTGGTAAGGAAGCCCGCCCTGAGGTTGATGTGTTGGCCCTGGAGGCGCTTGATCAGGAAGGTCACCCTGAGAGTGAGATGCTGGCGTTGGCGGCAGCTGGTATGGGGACCAGCCCTGAGAGTGAGGCGGTGGAGCTGAGTGTTGATACTGCTCACAATCGGCAAGGTCAAATACATCTCCGGTGTCTGTGTGCGCAGTTGAAACCTGTGCTCTGGCACAGCGACGTCGACGAATCACTGCCTCACCCTCACGGTTTTCAGGTTCCTGGAACTCCATAACTGTTTGCCCATGTTGAACAGGCTCAGATGGTAGGTCCTGGGCCTCCAGGAGGGATTCTTCTGCCAAATGAACCTGTTGAGGAAGCTGCACACCTTGAAGTAATGAGTCGCGGCTGGTTCTCTTCTGCCGATCCTGCAGCCGAGGGGGAAAAAAATCAGAAGAGCATGTTTTTTTTCGGTCATTATTTGTTTGGACTTTATTTTCTAAGAATATATGTTTTCATATTTAAGCAAATGTATGAAGCTGTAAAAATGAACTCACCAGGACGACACCGTGGTGTTGTTTATGGTCACTAGTACCAGGTTGCTGTTGTCCAGTACCTCTTTGCAGTCCTCAATTAGCCGTTTGATATGACAGTAAGTCATGACAATTGACTGAGGTATTGCAAATGTTTTCCCTTCGTTGTCCTTTGGCCTATTTCTGGCTTCCCTGAACTCTTTGAAGAGTCTGAGTGCAACACACTCAGAAATCCTGTTGTAATCAGGTCTGTGGGCAGCCTAGCCATGAACCATGAACAATCTGCGAATAGATGACAAGATGACATAATCCACATTGTGTGCACTGAAAACACATGTATATGCATATACCTGTATGCTGCATACACATGCACACATACACACCCATTCACAAATATTACAAGTATATTATTTACAGATGCCTCTCTGCTGCTTGCTGGCCTGGAGCAGAGCCACTGCGCTTCCTTGAAGCTCTCCATGGCCCTGGCAAGGCCTTCTTCTTGCTTTTCAGAGAGTATTTGGTTTGGGACTTGTCAGTGGGATCAAGGCAGGAGTACAATCTCAATATCTTTGCTATTTCAGAGTTTGACAGCGCTGTTATTGTGCGGTTGAGGCTGACAAGGTACTCTGCCAAGGCATCGACTGCCTCCCATCCGGGAATCCCCTTAGGATCACACGGACTATCCTGTCACATGAAATAAAACAGAACCAATTCTTATAGCTAATTTTAGAGAAAAGGTGAATGAACAAGCATTTGTAATTGTCAGACAGTAGTCACTTTACCGGAGTCTTTACTGGAGTTGAAGTGATCGGCCCACTGTCCTCAAATGGGGAGCTGACAGGACTGAGAGCCACATCACTTTCAAGTGTAGATTCCTAAAGAAATTATTTGTCAAAAATGAGAGGGGTACAATGAGGTTGATAAACTTTGTTGTGCCCATGTTACACAAAAAAATAATTGATTTTAGAGTCAATCATAGACCACTCATCAAGAAAATTACCCTCTGAAAATCAGATTTACAGTAAAATGTTCTGATAGATGGTCAAAGTGCCATCACATCATTACCTGAGACGAAGACCGGAATCAGGGCTCGAAATTAACTTTTTTCTTTAGCGTCCAGCAATGGTCCCGAATCCTACTCTGTATTGTCCCAGATGTAACCAACAGCGTCCCAAAGTATTTTTCCCCAAATATCCACATATTAACATAAAAATGCAACAGCAAGTCCATGTCAACTTTTTTTTAGTGTACATTTATTATTTTATTGTAAGCTATAACAATCAATAAGTCCAAAATTCTTATGGACTCTGATAGTGTCTCTCAAATAGACATAAAGTGGAAATAACATTAAATTAAGAATTGGATGGAATCAGAGAGTTATTTTCGTTTTCATTGTTGCTATTAATTGATTTAATTTGTTGGTTTTTAATTCTTGCTTAAAGAAAACAGCTGACGTTACAGTCCATTCCAGCAGACTACCGTATGGGATGCTTTGTTTTTCCTTTGAAACCGCAATACATAATAAACCAGGAGATGTTCACTTGACTCGAACAATGTTAAGTATATAGCCCATTATAAATAACAAAATGAAGAAATTGCTGAAGAAGTAAATAGGATAAAGCGAGTTCACATATGATGTGTCAAATCGCAACTTACGAATTGCAAATCTGCGTGAACATAAAGGGCATTCGCCCAACTCGGCCATTCAGCTTTCGGATTTAATGCGCCAGCACTTAAACAATTAAATTGTGCTAAAAATGCCATACATGCTCAGTGAATGTTCTGCGATGTGAAGTTTGATATGGTGTAATCCCATTCCGTTTATAAACGAGATGAGCAAAAATGACTAATTTTATTGGGTTTGTTTGCTCTATTCTTTCTTATGGATTAGGCTAGTCAGACTGGCTTCAGTGACAAGAGCATCAGTTATAGATCTCGCTTTTTGGGAGACACCGGTGGTCAAAGTTAGCGTTAAACCTGCAAGCTGCAGTAGGACTGCCCGCGATGTAATGGAAATGCACCTTTTAACACTTAAACACCATCTTAAACAACTCAGTTCACATTACCAACAAACCACATTAACCCATTAATGACCAACAACTAAAAATAGTACCTTAAGGAAAAACCCCACAGTTTGAGTTCTGAATGAGGTGGGAACTTGCTTTTTGGTATGTGGCATCTTGGGGTAAGTGGCTACACATATTCAATTTCAAAATTGTGATAGAACATATTTATCATATCATATTTAGGGGTCAAACTTTGATTTTTGGAAAAACCCAAAATAACACAAAAATAAGTTCAACAGTCATTTGATAGGTTATGTATCAGATGTACACTAAAGTGTTATAAATGTCCTTATAGCACAACTTCTCCTGAATCCAACAATACCAGGCATTTGATTCAACTCTGTACGGATCCTGAGATACAGCCCTTTAAGTTAAGGTGCTATTTTTAGTTGTTGGTCAAATATGATAGTGGATTTTTTCAAATTTCTTCTTAAAATGCCTTGGAAATATAAGTTCCGGTAATGACATGGTCAAAAGATTTAAGGCATTTTTGTTCCACCCACAGACAAGTAAGAATCAATTGGGAAAAGGTTTGATTTTCATGAAAACTGAAAAAAAAAAAAACCGCTATCATATTTGACCAACTACTAAAAATAGTACTGTAGCCACATACTTTGACCGATTTGAAAAATTCAAACTGACTTGTACTATGCTCAGCTAGTACTTTCAGTGCTGTAAAGGAAATTCAAAATTTCCACTATGGTCATTAATGGGTTAAACACATTCTTGCGCGGAGAATATGAAGTAGGCTAATTTACCGTTTTCAAATCGTAGCCTCGATGTTCAGTTGGGTTGCGTCTTAAATAAAATGTAGCCCAGCTCCAAATTTTTTTTTTCTAACATAATGTTCCATGGCTATATCAAAGTGAGCAACTAAAGCCAGCCTGCTTCACCGATCTTAACCCTATAATGCCCCCTGTATCATATATGATACACCAAATTTGAAGGACCATGTCCACCTGGTAAGATGCAACACAACCACGACTGCTCATTGTATCATATCTGATACACAGTGCTGCCACCTGGAAGGAAGAAGTGAGATTATAGGAGTAGTCTCTCCCCTAGTCACTCACTTCAAGGTAGTAGCTCCCATGTGAATGGGAATTCATGAATTTCCTTGGACTTTGGCAGTGAAGTTCGGCATTCCAAGGTAAATATGACACAAAAACTTATTCTTATACATGTTAAGGGATAGCTATAGATAGTAGAGAGCATATTAATAATTTGAAATTTCGAGTGTTGAGTTCTGGAGGGGTGCTGATTTTTGGCTGTATCAGACATGATACTCCTGGAATTAGAAGAAGTTCTGTTCAGCAATGTATATTTTGCTGTCACAAAACCTAATGATGAACAGTGGATCTGAATACTACCCTTCAATACTTCAAAAATATTACTGGGTCATATTTTTCCTATAATGATGTCTGTGTCTGGGCATTATAGGTTTAACTGCGGCTAGAGCAGATCTTGATTTTGTCAGGTCTAAATGTAATGATTTGGAAAAAGCATGAATTTCAAAATGTTATTGAAATTCTTTGCTC